TCTCCATCTCCCCTTCCGGCCCAGATATCTTAGGCCTCAACATGTACTGGACGCGAATGTCGTCATGGCAAACATTCTCGAAGCGTTCCAAGAGTTTGCGGATCTGGACACATCAAGATCCCAAGGAGCCGAGTTGGGAGGTCTACCGCGGCTGGGGTCATCAATATGGTGTGTTGGCCAAGTCGCTTAATGCCCGGTAGGAACAGGCACCCTTATGTAATCGGAATCACATGATTTTTCGTTCCTGCTCGACTGGGGTGGCTGTGCCTGCTTTCCGCTGACAGGGACATGCTTGGTATGTCTGTGCCACGTCGCCTGCAAGTGCCTGGCACATGCGCGGAAAATGAACCAATGTTGACAGCTGCTGTACCCTCCGGCACCTGGCAGCAGCGCGTCAAGCGCGGTCGGGCGAGTACTTGAGTGCCCCACGAGAATATTCAATTCCCCCCCGTGTCTCGACGATGTCCACGCTCTCCGCTTCCACTGCTTCCACTGAACTCTGGCGCTCAGGTCCCAACTCCCGTGGCACGTGGGAAATCATATCGACCTGCCTGTCCACCCTCATCATATGCGCCTGGAGCGCCGTGCACGTCGACGTGCCTCCGCACTACCGCAAGCGGTCCCTCATCAACAAAGTCCGTTGGCTGCTCATCGGGCTCCTGGCCCCCGACTGGCTTCTCTTCGCGGCCTTCAACCAACTGTGCTGCGCGCAGGAGCTCTCGCAGCGCGCGGGCATCTACTTGCCCGTGGCGAAATCGGCAGCCGCGACCCCTTGGCTGAGGAGACTGTGGAAGCATACCGGTTGGGGTGCAAGGCACAAGGTGCGGTCGTTCTCCTTGGGCGAGTGCGCCACATGCTGATCTGCGCTGACCGGGTTCCACGCCAGTATCCCTCTGACCCAGACAGCTTCCCAGAAGATGAGCACATCCTATCGGCGGCAGTGGAGTTTGACGAGTATACCGTAAGTCGCACCTCGAACGCTCAGTCGACGAAAGGTCCCTTTATTAAAACATCCACGTGTTTACAGACCAGCGCCGCGAGCACTGTGAGCGAGTCCGGCATCCGCAGACATGCTTGGACGCTTACCCACAGCTACTACGCGACCATGGGCGGTTTCGTCCTGGACTCCTCGTCGACACCTGTGTTCGGCACAGAGAAGCGGATGGTCCTCACCCCGCGCATGTTGCACCTCCTCATGGAGCACGCGCCCGATCTCATCCCCGACATCTCGGCGGACCGCATCCAGTGCTGGAGCAAGTCCGACGGGCTCGCGAAGGCGCTGCTCGTCACGCAGCTGCTGTACTTCGCCGTGTCCTGCGCCGCGCGCCTCGACCAGGCGCTGCCGCTGAGTCTGCTCGAGGTGTGGACCCTCTCGCACGCGTTCGGCGCGATCCTCGTGTACGTCACCTGGTGGTGGAAGCCGCTGAACATCGCGGAGCCCGTGGTCGTCACGGGCGAGAGGGCGCGCGAGTTCGCGGCTTACTTTCAGATGGTCGGCAAGCCGGTCGCGCCGCGCGTCGCCGGGCTCGACGATAACGTCGGCTTGGCCGAGGTGACCTATCTCCGCATCGCCCCCCGTAGACCCCCCGTGGACGGCACTGGGGCCTTCCTTGACGGCGGACGACTGGTGTGTTCGCTGGGCCCGGGTCAGCCAATCCCGATTGAGGATTACACCTTCACCGTCTCAACTACAGGACCAGACCTTCAGAATCGCCGCGTATTTGGAAAGGCCTATTGTCCGTGGTACGCCCAGAAGCGGGGACCAGGTGGTAGCGTCTCGCTTAGCAGTGCAGACATCCTGCGGTGGCGGCTTGCCGCACGTGCTGCCTCACGGATAGATAAAGCCTGGCAGCCACAAGACTTGCTCCGGTACACCAGCACAGGCGGACTAGAAGCGTTTGACCCATGGGTCATACGCCACTTGTATGTCGGTGCCATCCTCGTTTCGCTCATGACCATATACTCGCTGCCCCATTTCCTGGGCTGGAGCATCACGTTCCCGACCCTCATCGAAAGCAAGCTCTGGCGTGTTGCTTCGATCACCGTGGCAGCCCTTCCTACCGCTTACTTCACCCTAATCGCTCTGGTTTACCGCCTGCCTTCCTCTCGACCGTCTGGATCACTCCCTCTTCCCACCTACACTATAGTGGTCATGCTGTACTACTCGCTGATTGTCATATACCCTCTTGCAAATGGGTATCTCCTGGGCGAGAGTCTCAGACAGCTCTTCCACCTTCCAGACGGGGCATTCCTGCTCCCAAACCTCTCGGTCTATTTTCCGCATTTTTCGTAGTATTCTCTGGTCTTACTGGTCTGTTCTTGATAGCCCTGCCTGTACTGGAGTAATTGGACTTAGTGTTGGTTTAAATAAGGTGTATTTTACTTCCTAGCGATTATAGAACGTTCTTTACTATCCGAGCCCGTAAGCAGTACGACAAACAAGAAAGTGGTGATGCGCGCTGTTTTGCAGCCGTTTGACGAACGACCGCAAATTTGCGGCCTGAGCGACGCGTATCGCATGGTGCGTTGCAAGTAAGACTGCAGTCAGACTCGCCGAAGCTTGCTGTGTGTTTGCTCCGGCCAAATTTTGTCCTAGAGAAGTAAGTGCAATCATCACACGGGTCGATCCTCGCCTCGACAACGGACGCTTGACACGAACACGATGCGACCACCGTTTTACTGCCTAACCCCCAACGTAATCTTCTGTTCTGTTCGTATTTTTTGTTCTCGGCTACTTATCACTGGTGCTTGGACTTTCCCTTGGGCAGACTGCAATAAACTCTTCTCGTATTCTGCCTTAGGACACTGGCATCTTGATTGCGACGACTCGCCTCATGACGTTCTACCAAGGTTTGCTCGATGTTTCTGCCACCTATATGTCCATGTCCAACAACTACAGCATGGTCGTCGTGTTCGTTGTCGAGGTGACCCGCCTCGTGCGGCTTTGGCTAGTATTCCTGCGTACTAACAAGGCGCTCCGCCATGGCATATTTCACCGCCTCCGAGATCACAAACTTGGATAGCTGGCAGGTACGTACAGTTCATGTGCCTGGCACTGCCCACCGTCGCTTATCTTCTATTTCATTTGGGCATTTACAGTGAATATCATTCGATCGAGTGTCTGCGACCCGTTCCCGATCTGCCCGCTCTGGCCAGTGCTCACGAGGCATGTCGCCCTTGCGCTGTTTGGCTGTGCGTGGGCATTAAATGAAAGCGGAACCTTAAATTTGGCGGGTGTCGTATCCGGGGACACCTGGTGGCAATGCATTAATTGGAGCCTATTGAGGACTCAAGCCCAAGTGCCATGGGACCGTGCGCACGTCCGAATCACCCTCTCCGCATTACACTGCAACCGAGCTCATCCTTCAGCTCTGCGAGTCAATGTCCACACTCTCGGCTTTAAATATCTCGGCTCTAGAACCAAGTTCCTGGCGCCCAGATCTGACCTACCGTGGTACATGGGGCTTGATAGTGACCTGCTTGTCCACTCTCGTCATTTGCCTCCGGAGCGCTCTCCACATGGATATACCCCCTCACCTATCGAGAGCGATCGTTTTTCAAAAAAGCGCAATGGTTGACCATCGGTAGCAGCCATGAATCCTGGGGCAGTTCCTGGTAGATGTTATTCCTGCT